CGCATAGAAATTTAACTAAGCTGCATCTCAGAGTGCCAGGGACAAAGAGGACTTTTTAAGCATTTTTCATTAAGAATATTATTCAGTATAGCATTGTGAATGAAAAATTTATGAAATATAATAAATAGCTTTTCATTTTCACGGAGTTTAGCTAATTGTTGTACGAGGTGGGAGCAAGTAAATACAGTTTCTATCGATTGCGATAAATTTCGTATTATTTCGATGCTCATATAATAATTGTGGTATCGTCCGTTTTAATGTTTGCCCTAGGAACTACTATATTCATATTTATTATTTACCTCATCTTAGAGTCACACTTAGAGAACTGTGAGACTTGCATAAAAATTGAGGGAAACCAATACGATATTGCTCCTAACCTAAAATAGATAATCTATGTAGAATTATTAATAAATACGAGTGACTCTTAGTCATTATTCTTAAACTTTCAATAAAGTCGTTAAATGAATATTAAATAAATTATGAATTGTCTTTGTAACAGCAAACTTAAATTAAAAGGACGAGAAAAGCTCAAATATACTTACAGTGGCAATGTCACGAACAATGGAGTAACTTACCTGAAAGAAATAAAGAAGTGTTATTGAAAATTTTCAAAAAATATAAAAAAATCTTACACACGTTATAATAATGGATATCCTGTAAGTAATAATTTTGGTTTAATGTTAAAATAATATTCACTTAAATCAAAATTTGAATGTTATTGATATAATCATATAGTCTTTTTTATCAATAACTATTCTTCTATATGATTGTTTAATATTCAATACACAAAAGTGTCAAACGTATAGCAGCGTATTGTAATGTATCAATTGTACTTTTTATTTATTTGAGTATTATCATAAAAAAATATTGGGTTTGTGTACTTTTTCTCCATATAAACTGTAACCGCACGAAACTTCATACACCTCTACGTGAGTTGTATTCGTAAAAAAGGGTCCAAAGTATTAAATAAACATTTATTTTGCACAAATGACTAATAATAAATATGCATTTAATCATTTGAATTCAAGTTCCATCTGAGTCATTGTATCATATCAAATAGGAGTGTATAATTAATGTAACATAATGTAAACAATTTATCGATATGAGTAAACGATGATACTCTAAACGCAAAGTTTGAAGTGCAAAGATAACATCAATGCTTGATAAGCTTATTTAATGAAGGATTATTTTATGAAACATAAAAATTTTATACTTATAGATATTTTTATTAATTAGTTAATAACTCAAACGCCACAAATTTCTTCATTCGTAGGATAAAAAAGGGTAGAATTTACTAATTTATAAATGAAATTTCTCTCACTCTGTATTAATTTACTAAAAATATTTTGTCCTTTCTTCTGTTAAGCAAATAAAGTTCACAAAACGGCGTTTAGTTCAATTAGCCTTTCAACCATCGAAATATAGGTATCTAAATGATATATTTACAACGTAACAAACGAATGAACATTCGATAGCTATGTTAACATGAACAAGAAGGGTCTCTTTTATAACTTTCATGTTTCCGAAACGTAAAAATAATCATGAAATAACACGAGATACGATAATAACATTTTGTAAGTCGTGTAACTTGTTTTATTTGGAATGCTTTAATTTATTTTTATTGATTATAATGTGACATAGAATAATGAACCGGATTTTATTTTCTTTAAATCTTAATTTAGAGATGTTTCAAAGCCAAAAAACTGCCGTGGCTCTCTTCTTGCGTCCGGAAAAGAAATGAAGATAATGGATGCCGAATTGCGCGTCAAAAGTGTAGAATGCTGAATGAACACAAATTCCTTTGCATAGTAAAAATTGGATTTAAAAAGTTTAACCGTTTTGGAGGTCTTTTCAAGCTTCTTGAATATAAGACGCGTGTGGGCTATAGCCACAAAATTCAATAAATTGTTACTAAGTAGGCAGTTTGGGAGTTTTGTCTGAGTAGAAATGGCGAAACATACTCCTACAAGAAAAATGAATTGCTCTCTAAATTTCATTTCATTTATAGTTCATCAATCAGATTATTATCTGATCATAAAAAAGGATTTAATTCTATTGTATTAAATTCTTCTTTTTATGCTTCAATTTAAAAAGAAATGTACAAAGAAGTGTCGTCATACGATATTTTAACTCGCCGTGTCGCCGTGATTTAATGATTACGCAAAAGAAAGTATATGTTCAATATTATTCTTCAATAATATTCCTATCGGACAAAATACCCTCACCCACAAAATAATTTACGTGTAGTTGAATCTATCTATTTTTTAATTTCATCTTATTTGGACGTAATCATTTTGTACGCGCTCTTTTAATCACTAAATTTATATTTTAGAGCTTAGAAAACCTTATGGTTAGAATAAGATACATTTCTATATTTTTTATATATGAACTCTACATGTAAAAATAAGACATACACAATTTGAAATTGGAATTTAAATCTTCAATTGATCCCGAATGAGAGTATCCATATTTGGAAAAGAAAGTTCACCGACTTTCCTTTTAATGGTTCTGTTAAACTATGTTCAAGCACATTGTTTTTTCTTAGTCATCATAATGACACATACACTCAAGTTTCAAAAGAAAACAATGAAACTTGGTCAAGTGCACAAAACTCTTTACTGAAAGAAAACTCTATATAAGTAGTGCTTTAATTAGTTAGACAATTGAAGTTGGTTAAAAACGGTTGGAAGTGAAAGAAAGTGGCAAATAAAAAAATAACTGATTTCAAACAAAAGCAATTACAAAACTTTTCTATTAAAACGTTTGATGATTTATTTATTTAAAAATGTTATTATCATTAATCGAGTTTTGCATATGTTGGTTATTAATCAAGTTTCTTGAATATATTAACCCCCCTTATAGCTAGGATTTTACTCACTTTTTCGGCTATTTTTATTTTAAAATTTAAAATGAAAACATATTTGAGATATTTACAAGAAGCATATTTTCTTAAACGTACAAATTTTGAACTTCCTTAAATGTGCAATACACACAATAGTTTGCATATTTTTTCTAATTTATCCCGCCAAATAACGCAGCCATGTTCAATTCCTATTCTAAAAAACCTATTTCTTGTTTAAGGCGGTTAAAATACGAAGTCACTATATGTCTGTATATTAATGGTCAATTTGTTTTTGTTCAATTAAATTAAATTCATTAGAAATGCGGTGAAGTGGATACTGATGTAAGCAGCTTTATAAATGATGCCCATAAAATATTTCTTACTTCTTTCTAGCAGTATTTTTTAATTAATCAAGGTTGGTATGGATCAGAGCTATGTTTAGATTTTTTTAAAGTAATTTACTTTCATAGATTCCTCTGACATGAGGGGAACCCGTCAGGGGAAGTTAGAATCAAGTCATTCAGTAAATTTAATTTTCGCTTTCAAGTGAGATTCGTAAATAAATTGACAGATGAATATAGATGAAGACTGAACAGATACAGTGCTTTTCGGTGATAATATAATTAGGTACATACTATAAAATTCGTTCTAACAACCGCTGCATTTACCATTTATAATGTAGCGGTTATTATTATTGTAGTAAATTTTGTTGTATTCAATATTTCCAAATGGCGCACTTCATGAATTTACGCACATACTTAATAAAAATGAATATAAATAAATATGATAGAAGAGAAAACAAGATGAAATTAACGTGTCTGACAGCGAGATAGATAGGGATGGACGGTGGCAATATGTGACAAAAAATATTTTTAATTACACGCAAATCTTTATGATTATTGTAAAAACTCTGTGAAGCCCTCAGTTACAAAATTACTTAAATATTTATAAATTTGTATTACAATTGGTTTTTCATTTTCGACAATCTTTTATAAGGTATTGTTGCCATTAGGCAACACCATTTTCTATTCCTGAAGTGCTAAAAAACTAACTAGCATATATTTTAATAACAGTCTCACACTGACAGATCTTTAAGGACGGTATAATGAAATTTGAAGCTTTATCAGATGACTTTTTAACACTTTAGCGGTCACAGTGGGTGTTATTATTAGGCGACAGTAGGTACTATACATGCAATGCGCTTAAGTGTGACTTTTTTTAAAAGCTTGTTATTTTTTTTATACATATTTCTGGCCCTTCTTCTGATGTATTTAACTAGTCCGGCATAATTTAGAATTATTTTTTATTTTTTAATTTTTCTCAATAAAACTTTTTAATATCATGAGCGAACATAAAAATAGACCACCTTCTCTGATCCGCCAGATACGGCTGTCTGCTATATTAGATTTAAAATTATGTTAGTTTGTTTACCGTTCATTATCATCTACACTAAACCTGCGAGCAAAATGGCTATGAAAATCTGTTGAGATATTTAGCACACATAAACCGTAAAGTTAAAAAAGACGTAAAAAAGGAGTATAAAATATTTGAAGAAATGGAAAGAACGGTGAAGTTCATGTGTTACTTTGTAATTATGTTCTATGAATAAAATTTTATAAATTCACGTTTTGACTACGACAAAATCCTAAGAAATATGGTTTAGTTTTTAATTTTTTATTATCAACTTATTCGGAAATTATTTCTTGGTGCAAATCGACTAAAAACAATACATAATTGATATTGTATTGGTAGAATAGATTTTGGAATGCGCGTCTTTTACTGCTGTACCTATCATCCATACGTCGCGTTGTAGAGAGTAACAATATAATCTGCAAGGAAATCTGCAGAAAGAAATGAATTTGTTTGCACACAAACAGGTTACGTGGTTTTGGTGAAAGTTGCCGAAAAATAAAATTACCATCACTTTTAAAGCCGCCTCGTTTTGAATAATGCGGCTTGTTAGCATAACACACTTTATTGTCTCGTACAAAAAATAACAAAGCCACGTTATTTTTAGTTCATTATCTTATGTATGTGGTTAACGATGTCAAAGACGCTCTATTATAGTTATAAGCACGAACGACCGATAAAGTTTCGCATAAGCAATGCATCTATATGTAACGGTAAGTCTTTACGATCTCGTTTGATGTTTGAATGGAGTGGTGGTGGTGTGAATGTAGGAACATGGCTCATCCTATACAAGCTGCTACTATAAACCATTCGGTTGCGCCTGCGCGACCAGTCGTCTCTCTAATGCCGTTTGCCGCACATTGCCAATTGAAAAAATGTTCCAAGGAGTATATACTTAATATATTTTTTTGAAGTGAACCATTGTTTGTGCCAGTGACTGTGGTTATTATTATATTTTAAAATTGGAAAAAGGAATTTATCTATTAAGGTTGGTAACAAAAATTATTCTCAAGATTCTATTTAAAGTATTATTTTGTGTATTTATTAGATAAAAATATTCGATTTCATCAATTAGACATCATTGGTTTACAGACGTATTTTTTAAAAGTAAAGACACTTCATTGTTTTAAATCACAGAGACTTGGAAAAGGAAAATATTTTCAATGGACGTTTGTTGGATTGTTGACGATTTGTATGGGCGTCTTTTCCTCTATCAAGATTCAATGTCAATTTAATTATCGATTACAATAATCGATCATTTTAGTTATCTAACAAACGGAATTATATCTATAATATAAAAATGAATCGCAAAATGTGTTGGTAAGCGCATAACTCAACAACGCCTCGACCAATTTGGCCAAATCTTTTTTTAAAATGTTCGTTGAAGTTCAAGGATGGTTTTTACGGCGAGAAAAATTAGAATTATTGCTGGAAAAACCCTAAAAATAGCCCTTTTCTTTTTCCCATACAAATGATTTGTAACTAAAACGTAGTCAATTTGAGCTTTATTGCTATGGTATAAAGTTCATATTAAATTACAAGCACTCACTGTTGTCTAAGCAATGTAGGTGTGTTCCTAACGTCAAAGATCATATCTATCAAAACAATGTGCGTGTGTGCGTTGGAGCACAGAATACATAGTTGGAGGAGTTTAATGTCGCGTTCCGAAACTCGCGTTTCTTTTGTATTAGTTTCGGCACGCGAGATAAAATGCATCAGAATTTTTTTAAATACGTAGGCAAAAAAACTGCCACATTACAAATCTTTTTGACAGGACGAAGTCTGTCGGGTCAGCTAGTAAATAATAAAAACCAACTTTTACATTAAACAAACTATCACAGTAAGTGAAAGTGATACTATGTTAGTCAGAGAGAAATGTCTATTGTTCCTATAATGTTATCGTTATGTAGATCGTACATTATTGGATAGCAAAGTGGTTTATTTATAGAGTACTTTAAAATTAAATCAATGATATCTTTATATACTTTCTCAAATAGAATAATAAAACGCTGGTTAGTGTTTGGAGTAATTGAATATTATAATTAAATGTTAAAAGACCGTCCTTTTTTAAAAAGAACCCCTTCATGTATTATATGTTTGATAAATTAGAAGAATATTTTAATAATTGATATATATGAATCTATTAATCATTTGGCTATTAAGGAATAATTATGGAATTGAATAACGCTTAAACTTATTAGCTATTTTCAAACGATTTATTATGAAAGAGGTATTTTTTCTATTCTTTTGTTTCTCTGAACAAGCAATTTCGTCACATTTTCTTATATTCAAATGTGAAGTTATTATTTTGAAATTTTGAAATCAGTAGCATTTTAGTTAAAAAAAAATGTTTTATTTTTATTAATATAGACGGTAACAATGGTAGTCATGTGGTCCTGAATGACCCAATAAAAAGAGAGACAATGCAAGCCTATTAAATACTTAGGCGATTAGTATCATAATGAAATAGAATCACGACATTCGAATGAATAATATTACTTAAGTAAAATTGTCAGAAAAAGCTTTAAAAATATTCTATCGTTATGTTTATTACAAAAAAATACGTGTATTTTATTAAGATAGTAGATATAGACCTTCTTGGTGCCGAAGATAAGTTTAATACTAGTACTCACGAGGCGTACATAAGAAAAGTACTAGATACTTAAAAGTTATGGAGTTGATAAAGAATAGGTTAGTCTATATCGTACTTTTACGTAGCAAACATATTATTGCAAATTTACAACAACAGAAAAACTAAAGACTACAAAAGTGACTAATTAAATATTTTCCAAGTCAGTGCGTTTTCATCATTTTCTTTTACACATTGCAGTTTTAACGCTGGTTGATTCTATTTAACCGTCCTCCTTAACCTGCAGTGGGGATATAAAATGGCTGATGATGGTGATTCTATTTAAGGAAACCTGTGTAAATAAATTAGATACAGATAAATATGTAAACAAATTATTATATTTCATATATGGATCGTCCCAGTTATGATATGATCCATGTCTTTGTAGTTTCAAACTCTTGGAAAGTTCTCATGAGAATTTGAAACTATCAATATAATTTGATTTTTTATTTAAAAATGATAAATTAAAAGAACTATTGAAAATATCATACTAGGACAAATTATAAAACAACACAATATCCTACGTAGGCTCGGTGAACGTTTTAATCTTATTGGGATAAAAGAATAAAACAATTTAAAAAATAAAGGTACAAGCAATATTGTGGAGAGCTAGTGACACCAATTTAGCTAGTTTATATTTTTTTTTTTCAGTAGTATCGGAAACGTGTAGGCAGTAAACCGATTTGTATTTTCATTTCGCCAAACAATGGCAAACGAGACAAAAAAGCTTAGGCCCGCCGCTAATATCGGCTCGTTCCAATACACAATCCGACCTCTGCGATTTATTTCGACAAATTGAATATAATGCAAATTCGTGTGTATATTCAAAGGAAATTAGTTTGTAAAGGCACCTAATCACGCGAGAATGTTATTTCCTGAATACAAATTGAGGTAATTTAGATGGATGAACGAAAAATTGTTCATGACCAACATCGGTCTTCTCTGTGCTTTGATCCTTGAGAAGTGTTAACAAAACGCTAATAACCTTATGTGTATTGCGTTAATATCATTTTAATATGTTACTACATGGTCATATATTAAAGAAATAATGGTAGAAGAGACGGCCATGCATTGCGAAATTGGCGCGATCAAACATTTTATATCTGTATAGTTGACATTAATAAATATTTTCTTAAGAAATTACTTATAAAACGATTGGAGGTTATTTTAATAACATTGGTATTATTCTGAGTTGCCATTTTTAATACAATTAGAATATTTTATGGTTAATTATTGTTGACATATTACAAATAACAAGTCACGTTGTTTAATTACCACTGTGTATAATGTGTACCTCCCTCTATATTTGTCTTAAATAATATTCATAGTAGGTACGTCACTGTGAACAACACTATTTTACATAACAATTTAGAGCCTTATACATATTCAATTCAAAACGACATCGTTACGTTAGCCGCCGTTGAACTTGGAGGTAATATACATTTTTAATTTTCGTAACTCGCCATTAAATTGTTACTTATGGTGACCATTCGTCTAACCATTACTTTTGTAGTTGCTAAAAGGTTTATTGCTCTCTTTGATAAACTAAGATAAGTCTTTTAATTGTCCAGTTAAGGTTTATCTAGAAACTGTTAAAACCTTTTTAGTTTTAGCTGCTTTAATTTTTTTTTAATATCTTTATTTGAAAGAAAAAAAAACAGTAATTGGTTTAAATTCTTAATCCATTATTTTCGTATAAATTTCAAACTAATTTTAAAACTAATTTTATTGTTTTAAGATAATTATTTATGTAAAAATATGAGATTATTATGTTTGGATGGCATTCTGTTTGGTTTTCGAAATTTTCGTTGCGCTAACAAAAAGTTCCTTCAAATATATTTACGTAACCGAATAACGTTGACGAAATATAAGTTAAAAAAAGAGTTTTATTTGAGTGAATTGATCTGTCATTTATTGAACATGTTTTATTTTTCAGGTAGTTTAAAAAGCAATTATATAATTTATTTTGAAAAAATTACAATTATTTTATAATTATATTCTATTTACTTATCCTTATCACCTCTAACACATTACATTGCGCATTACATTTACATTTGAATTACTCATACATAACTCTCACTCCACTCAAAATTATAACCAATAACTTGATGAACGTATAGAAAAAACACTTGAAACAAAAGACGTTTTTACTCGTACTTCAAAATTTAATAAAAATTTCAATATGGCTAAATAAAATTTATTTGTTATACAAACATGAAAAATAAGATTCTTAGATTTTGTGTGGCGAATAATCATTAAGTTAGTGATATCCTATTAATATTATAAAGGCGAAAGTTTGTAAGTATGGATGTATGGATGTTTGTTACTCTTTCACGAAAAAACTACTGGACGGATTTGGATAAAACTTTACAGCAATATAGGTTATACATCAGAATAACACATAGGGTACTTTTTACTGGGAAAACTTCTCACTCCCACGGGATACCGACTTCCACGCGGACGAAGTCGCGGGCGTCCACTAGTAGTCAATAAATTCCAATGCCCATTTAAAATAATCACTAGGCGTGAATATCACTGTTTCATTGTAATAAATATTTACTATACATTATGAAATACGACCTCCGTAGCAATAATAATGTATATGATGTTGTTTATTTATTTAAGAGTATTAGTTTTCTATAATGGTATAATTAAGAATACCATAATTAAAAGGAAAAAAGGAATAATTAATATCCATAACGGGCATTAGGAAATATTCCTTGAAATCAACCTCTAACACACATGAACACTTTGAACAATTTAATTAGTATCTCCTACAATACTTAATTACAGGGCACTATAAAAGCGATTGTTATAGCGGAGATGTTATGCAAACACATTTTTCTCTCGAGTTTGCCAAACTTTTTACATAAGTGTGAAGCAACGTCTAGTGAATATGCCTCATTAAAGTATACTATTGGAATCAAGAGAGATATTCCATGAAGTCTTAATACAGTTCATTTAACATTTATGTATGCGACTGTAGTCACTTACATTTATTTATGCGATGTACTAACAGTCAAAATCACAAGAAGCGATCGATCATGATAACTAAATAATGGCGAATCAATCATCAGTATACTATTACTTAACATATAAGATACATCGATATTTGAATTAATGTAGTTGTTATAAACCTGCCAACAAAACCAGTTTCCAAATTATCATTTCAATATTATAGCAGACAATATAAGTGAATAGTTAAAAAGTCTACGACAAGCGCACTAGCACCAAATTAAAAATATTTTTTATTGATTTTTTTTTTTAAATATACCTACTATTTTTAATATAAGTATATCCTCATCCTCATAATATTACAAAGGTGAAAGTTTTTAAGTTCAGATGTTTGTTATTTCTTC